AGGCAGTGTTGATAGGATTGGTGTCAACAGTGGTTGTGTTGACTCTGTTTGTCATCATTTATAAGATCGGAAACTCGAGATTCAGAGCAAACAAAGACAAAGAGAATAATAAAGTTGTCTTCAATTTCGACAAACTTTTGCCTAAAAAAACGAAACTCTGTTTTGTCTGACAATAGTGTCTGTAATTCTACTATTAGTACATAATTACACGGTTTGAGTGTATTTTATGAAAAACACTATTTTGTTAATAAAATTTATAAAATGATTTATGCAATATATATTTTAAAACTTACCATCGGGTTTCTCGTCGTGTGAATTGTGTTTGTGATTGTCTTTGTTGAGCACACTCTCCGTGTCTTTAACGTTGTAAATATGAATTAAAAATATAAAAACAATTAAAAAATTCATTGTAAAAATTTATAAAACGCTAAAATAAAATATTAAAAAATAATTTTAATTAATATCAGTCGTGAATATAACTATGTTATGATTGTAAGTGATTGTGAGTCTATATATTATCGATAATTTAAAAAACATTCAAATTTATGTCAAAAAAATGTTAATCTTTTTTATATTAAAGTTTAAAACTAAAGATAAAATACTTTTATCTATTTTTTGTTTCTGTTATCAGTTTTGTAACATAATATTAATTTATTAATTATATTAATTTAAATTTTAAATACAAACCTATTATTATTAATAAATCTTTTCCACAAATCATTTGAATTATAATTAACAACAAGATTGTAATTTTAATCAACATTTTATTTGGTATACTTTAAAATAATGAAATCATCAAAATAATAAATGTAAAATTCCAATCAAATGTTCACAAAAATATTATTTCCCTGATATTCGAGTTCTGTCTTTATTCTAATCCTAATCCTAATCGTAAATATTTTTACTTTAATCCACAAAATGTTGTCAATAAAGTCTCCCTGTAATCCTTAAGTAAAGGTTAAATAAAGTGTTAATATTACAAATAATAAAATTTCTTTATTTTTAATGTATTTTATGATTAATTTTAATTATCATCAAAACATTTCTATGCTTAATCATAAGGAGTGGTTGCATTCAAAACATTTTGTTTAACAAATTGAACGCTTCTATCGTTTGCCGTATTTTCCAATTCAAAGACAATTAATTTGTTTGGTTTCGGGAATGCATTGAAGAGGTGTTTGGGTGTATAGAGAGTGAGTTGTGGGCCAACAGTCCAATAACGGCCTAAATTGAAACCATTGAGAAATGCCAGTCCTTTACGCCAACCGTCCAAACGTAGAAATGTATCCAAAGGGTAGTCCTTATTGTCAGACAACACAAACTCAGAGCTATAAAAGGCAGGAATCCTTTCAAATGAACTCTTTTTGTTTGCGTTCATTTGAACCGAAGAATAGAAATCAGAATATTCTTGGATTTGAGATATACTTTGGGACCAATTCTTAAACATCAAATAATGTCTCCAATCCTCTAATACATTGGGACCTATTGTCACGTTAGATGTGATTCCCTTTTAGGTTAAAACAAATGTAAATTGTTGAATCAATAAATTCATTGATTTAAATATAATATTAAGAATACTTTCAGTTCATTGATTGTGTTTCCATAACAAAGTCTTCCCTGATTTTCGACCAATAAATCCAGTTGTGATCCAAACTCTATATCCAAACCTATTTCATATAGATTTTGAGTCCGACTCAAAGTTCCCGCATACTTCTGTTAATAAAAAGTTATTTAAATAAAAGTTTATATTTTCTTAAACAAGTACCGTATTTACTTTATTAACAAACACTTGAGCCCTATCTTTAAGTCCTTTAACCGTCAAAACTGCCGGATCTGAAGGAATGAATGTAATGTTTGTGGAGTAGAGTATAAACCCGTCTCTAATTCGCAATTCTTCGAAAGTCAGGGGAAGTGTCGACTCAATGGGTGTTTGACTGGAGATTACATCATATATGTTGAGAACTGGTGTCATAATAATTGGTTTTGTGTTCATTTTGGGCGCCGGTTTCGGAAGTGTGCCGTTAATGAGCGGAAAGTACTTGTGTTTTATTAAAATCATATTAATTACAATCACATTGTATTTCTTTAACATTTTCTGGACTCAAATATCACTCACTTTAGCAATGGTTGTTCTGATGGCAAAGTACTTCTCAGTGGGATCTCCGGCCTCATTGAGGGGCGCGTCGTAATCATAACTTGTAGGACAGGGGACTATACCGTCGTTGTCCTGAGTGCTGGTGCCGGCGCCGAACCCATAGCTGGTCCCCCCGTGAAACATATAGCTGTCAAAACCAAACCAAATAATTAATGTTTAATATTTGTAGCAAATCTAAAATTAAAACAAAGACATACAGATTGACGGACGCGTTGAAGGCTAGCATAGCGTCAAGAGTTTTAATGACGGCAGTGGTGGACACATTCTGGTGAGGCATTTCCCAGTGGTCGAGCCAACCCGTGTAGTACTCGGAGTTGACGGACGGTCCGTACTGTTGGTGCCGGTGCTGTATGTGAAACGCTTTGCTCACATCACTTCCCGGCCCGAAGTCAACGGTGGCGAACACGCCGTCTATTTTGCCGCATTTGAAATACCCGTCGCCGTCGCCATCAGTGGTGAAGAGTTGGACAGAACTGTTGCCGAAGTACTTGAGATGAAGATCTCGCAAATGAGAGGTGTATTCATAATCGCATGCCTTATAACTTCCGTATTCGTTCTCAATCTGAACCATAATAACGGGTCCGCCGTTTCGGTACAGCATTGGCACCACTTTTGGTAATAACACGGAATACCATTTGTCCACCACTTCCAGGTATGACGGATCAGATGATCTTAATTTCATGTCCGGGTTCTTCGACAGAAGCCAATACGGAAGGCCTCCCTATCATTGTTGTGACAGTATTTTAAACATATTTAACCTACTATTGCTTCACAACTGATGGTAAATTTAAAAATATAAATATTATTAAACGCATACAAAGTCTCTCTCGGCGTCGATAAAGGGTCCGGTTCTTAGTATAACAAGTAATCCCAAATCGTTGGCTGTTTTCAAAAATTTTATCAAATCATTGTCGCCATCGAACCGATAGAACCCTTCCTCCGGTTCGTGTGAATTCCATTCGACATAACTATTAAATACACAATTAATTGATTTATTGATTTTGAAGTGAAAGTCATAATTATATAATGAATACGTTTGTATGGCATTAAGTCCGGCCTGTTTTGCTTTGATCAGACGGTCAGTCCATAAAACCTCCGGCACTCGGAAGTAATGTATAGATCCGGAGACATAACGAAACGGTTGGCCATCCTTTAGGAATTGGTTATGATTGTAGTCTATTGTGAATTCACGGATACTTTCGCAACATTTCTGTATTTATTAAAAGTAGAAATATATTATTCATTCAATTTAACATTTAAATCGCGATTTTTATTTATATTTTCATTCATTTCTCACATAAAACAGAATCGTTGCGAAAAATAATTGTATTAAAAGTTTCATTATTAATAAATAAACATTTATTTACACACAATTTACAATTTATTTATCAATTGAATAAATGCATTGCATTTGTTATATTATATTAGTTTTTATACTAAATGTTCTTTTGTTATATCGATTATATAACCAATTGTTATATTTAATCAGTACATGTAATAAATAAAAATTATTTAAAAAATTACAATTCACTTCTCATGAAAAACAAACCATAAGTTTATCTAAACAGTAGGCCATCAGTGGTAATGAGTTTTTGAATTGAATGTCGGATTTGTTTAATGTAAATGTAAATGAAAAATAAATTGATAACAGAAATGAGAGAAAATTCGATATAATTTTGACAAAAACAAAATACTTAAACATTTAATCAATTTAGACCTAAATCGTCAAAAAGTCATACAAAATACGAATTGTTCAGAAATTTGCAAATATAATCATTTCTATAGTTTAAAGTCAATAACTTTTCAAAACAATAGTTTAATCTAATAATAATAATGTGATTAAATATACATTAAACTAAAGTATTGATTATAAATGCTTGAAATGAGTTAGCAATTTAAAAATCATAAAAAGTATGAATAAAAGTGTTATTTACTGATAATTATTAGTGAAATATACTGTAGTTTAACCAATTGTTTCGGTTTTAAATTCGCCAATCATTCTATCAATCAAACATTGAACCTTTATACAATCAACCATTTTGTACCTTGATGATGATATAATAAAATAAATAATAAATAATTAATTAAAGCACTTCAGTATCTTAAGCTATTAAATATTTATAATAACTCTTGAAATAACACATTTAATTGAAACAAATATTATTATTTAAACAACATATTTAAATACCAGTAAAACAATTACGTGATTAGACGTAAAGTTTGGTTGCATTCAAATCACTTTGTTTAACAGCTTCTATGGTTTGCCGTATTTTGCAATTCAAATGAATTTCAATCGAAAAATAAAAAATAATTGAAAGTTTTTATTTAATAAAATAAATTATAAAAAGTAATGAGAATTAAAAAAGTGAAAGCGTTTTAGATTTTTTCAATTCAATCTCAAGTTTGTGTTTGTCGTTAAGACATGTATTGAGCAGTTGTTCAGAAAGTTGGCGATCGAGAAGAAGTTGGTTTCTGTTTCGCAGCTTTTCCTTCTCGAACCACTCCTTCTCCTTCTCTAACATGAGTTTGTCTTTAGTGAACCACTCCTTCTCTTTGACCAACAGATCCTTATCTCTGATCAATCGGTTCCAGCCGTCGTCGAAGCGCTTCCACGCCATGTCTAACCGAACCTTCATATCATTCAATTGTTTCCATTGCTCTTTAATGAGATCGCCGTTAATCACACGACCGCTTATATCACAAAACGGTTGTATTTCTTTGGCCGCAAAATTAACACCTTTTAGTGTATTAGCGAAGCGCTTAAAATAATCGGCCACTCCTTTCTCTGCCGCCCCCACCAATAGGGGCGCGGGGTCTGTGCAACAAGCAAATAGGTTTGGTTAACTACCTTGGTCACAAATAACTTATATGAATAACAGTTCATTTTGGAACTTATTTGGAGCCTATGGAACACAATGTGCTTCTCTGTAACATATTTTATAAGTAAACTGTATAACTGATTCTGATCAGTAATATATCGGCGATGAGTACAGTTAAGTAGATTTGTATTCCGGAAATATAACCAGCGAATGGCAACAAACATCCGAGTTATGGCCATATTTATAACCACTAGCATACGTCTTATAGCATTATAATTCTGGTGAATTCAGAATTAATTCAGAATAGCATTACTCTTATGAAAACAAGTTCTGTATTTACTATCAATGTTAGTTAAAAAGTGGCTTTAAATGGTTAAAAATGTGGGGCGTTTGTGGCCATTCGCAGGTTTTGTCACAAGAATACAAATCACATCACTCTACTGAACACGACTTAAAACTTTGTGCAAATAATTAAATACAAACCTACAGCCGGGTCATCTTGTCCACAGATCAATGGAATTATAAATAATAGCGAAATTACAATTTGAGTCAACATTTTTTTCAATTTGCATTTTAATACTACTGTAAATCAATTCGTAAATATTTTTGCTTTATTCGACAAAATATTGTCAATTCAGTCTCCGTGTAATCTTTGGCTAAAGCAAACATTATTCATAAGTAATTAATGCATGAATATTAAATCATTTATAAATCAAAAATATGGTTTGATTTATAAATATTTGAGAAATTAATTGTATGTAAAATACCTGTAAATCACAGAAATCTCATCTCAAAACAAGTCAAACATGAATAGAATGTATGGTTTGTATTGCTATTACTCTCAAAACCTTTTACAAAACTATTACAGGAATTAATATTAGATGTATAGAGAAATGCCTTCTCTTTGATCGTTAAATAAAATCACAATTTCTGGTAATCACAGGAATCACACCATCCGAGCGATCCATTCCTCACCTCACTATCAGATAAATGTTTAATAAGCTTTAAATCGCATTCACAACTGGTGTACAGACATCTGTCAATCATTTGAATGCATTAAACACTATTAATAAACTACCCATAATTTGCATTAAATCATTTATATAATAATAACAGGTTTGAGCTAATCATTGTCTGAGCTAATCGATGATTAAATAGTACAAAAAACACTGATTACAAATTTTAATTTTATAAATGATAAACTTAATTTTTTAAATGCATTTTATGATTAATTTTAATTGTCATTTAAACAATAAAATGCTTAATCATAAGGAGTGGTTGCATTCAAAACACTTTGTTTAACGAATTGAACGCTTCTATCGTTTGCCGTATTTTCCAATTCAAAGACAATTAATTTGTTTGGTTTCGGGAATGCATTGAAGAGGTGTTTGGGTGTATAGAGAGTGAGTTGTGGGCCAACAGTCCAATAACGGCCTAAATTGAAACCATTGAGAAATGCCAGTCCTTTACGCCAACCGTCCAAACGTAGGAATGTATCCAAAGGGTAGTCCTTATTGTCAGACAACACAAACTCAGAGAAATAAAATCCAGGAATCCTTTCAAATGAACTCTTTTTGATCGGCAATTGATTTGAAGAATAAATATCTGAATAATACTGAATATATGCCACACTTTCGGTCCAATTCTTGAATAACAAATAATGTTTCCAATTCTTTAAAAGTTGCGGACCTATTGTCACGTTAGATGTAATGCCCTTTAAGTTAACAAATTCTTAAGTTAGTAAATTTATAGAAAACTATATTCATAGCTTTAACATTAATTAAATCAAAAACCTTTGATTCTCCGAAAACATTTCCATAACAAAGTCTTCCCTGATTTTCGACCAACAAATCCAGTTGTGATCCAAACTCTATATCCAAGCCTATTGTAAACAAATTTCGAGTCCGACTTAAAGTTCCCGCATATTTCTGCAAATTAATTCACTAATTTATTAATTAACTTTTCACTACTTGTAGACTATTATATACTTTATTAACAAACACTTGAGCCCTATCTTTAAGTCCTTTAACCGTCAAAACTGCCGGATCTGAAGGAATGAATGTAATGTTTGTGGAGTAGAGTATAAACCCGTCTCTAACTCGCAATTCTTCGAAAGTCAGGGGAAGTGTTGACTCAATGAATGTTTGAGATTTGATAATATCGTATATATTAAGCACTGGTTTCATAACAATGGGTTTAGTCTCCATTTTAGGCGCCGGTGCCGGTAATGTGCCGTTAGGGAGGGGTAAGTACTAAACATAATGACACATTTTAATATTCTCATACATTGAAGCATAATTGCAAAATTGATTCACTTTTCCGATAACTTTGCGGACATCGAAGTACTTCTGTGTCGGGTCTCCTGATTCGGTGAGCGGAGCGTTAAAATCATAACTAGTAATACATGGGATATATTGTCCGCCATCGCCCTGATTAGCGCCGGCGCCAAACCCGAAGCTCGTGCCCCCACAAAGAGGATAACTATTTACAGAGAAACAACACTATCTATATTTTACGTTAAACCAAAGGGAATTCAATGGCAATTACAGATTGAGGGAAGCATTAAAAGCCAACATCTTATCCAAAGTGTAGGCCACCTGTGCTGAACCAACTGTTGAGTGGGGCTCTTCCCAGTGGTCTATCCAACCCGTGTAGTACTCGGAGTTGACGTACGGACCAAACTGTTGGTGCGCGCGTTGGGCCGCAAACGACTGGACAATATCACTGCCGGGGCCGAAGTCGATGGTTGCGAACACACCGTCTATTTTGCCACACTTTAGAAAATAGTCGGCGTTTCCATCGGTAGTGAAGAGTTGGACTTTACGGCCGAAGTGTTTGATATGAAAGTCCCTCAAATGGTCGACGTATTCAAAGTCACAGGCGTTATAACTTCCGTATTCATTCTCTATCTGAACCATAATAACGGGTCCGCCGTTTATGTATAACATGGGCGCCAACTTTGGTAACAATAGTGAAAACCATTTGTCCACAGCTGACAAATATGTCGGATCAGATGTCCTTAATTTCATGTTTGGGTTCTTAGACAACAGCCAATACGGAAGTCCTCCCTATTTATAGTAATTATATAATTTACTACAATTATTGTATTCAAATTAATTTTGTTTCATTTATAAGGTTTAAGAAATAATACCAAATCCCTCTCCGCGTCGATATACGGACCGGTCCTCAGGTTAACCAAAAGCCCCAAATCGTGAGCCGTTTGTAAGTATTTAATGATATCGTAGTCGCCATCAAAGCGAAAGACTCCCTCTTCGGGCTCATGAAATGTCCACTCAATATAGCTGTCAAAATATAAGGTAAACTATAGTTTTTACATCAATTTGTTTGAAAAGTTTTTGGATATAAGGAAATACGTTTGTATGACATTAAGTCCCGCCATCTTATACTTGACCATCCGATCCAACCAAAGAACTGCCGGCACTTTGAAGTAGTGAAGAGCTCCCGAGACGTAACGGAATGGTTGGCCATCTTTGATGAATTGATTCGTATTTGAATCGATGGTGAATTGACCGACAGATCCGATCGCACTCTACATTTAATATAACATTTCTAGAAATATATGTCAAATAAAAAAATATTTATTTTTTACATAAATCAAAGTCGAGACCAAGAATATGATTATTAATAAAGACTTCATGATTCATTTAATTGAATAATTATCACTTATTATGCAATAAATTTATATTTTTGATTTATCCCTCTTTACACAGCATTACATTAATTTTTTTCATTTAACAATTAATACTAAACTAACAAAATTTAAGGATTTTATTGTTAAACTCAAACAAAACAGTATATGCTTTGTTCAATTATTTTAAAACATAAAAAGCACCTGTATCATAACAACCTTTCTGGAATTGATAGTATTAGAAATAGATCACTAATTATTGATTCAAACACACAGTAGATAAAATATCATAGTGATTATTATAAATTAGTTGTTTATATAAAATCCTAAATTAATATTTAATAAATTAAAGCACTTATAATACTTCCTAAATGTATATACAAATGCTAATCATATCTATTGAGTGAATCAAATGTTAGATTAATTAATCATTTGTTTGTTTTAAATGGTAACCAATGCTTTATAAACATTATTTATATACAATTCATTGATAAATAAAATCAATAAAAATTACATAAATTTTATCCGTTGTATATTTTGTGCCATTTTTAGTATAATCCAGTTTTTACAATTATAATAATTTATTAAATTATAATATTCCTGTAATTAATCGTATTGAGAGATTTCATAGTTTCTTGTTTAAACATGAGTGTCATTTCCTACTTTATTTAGTTTATAAACAAATTATCAAACGATTTAAATTAATTTCAATTGAATTTTCAATGTTTTTAAATGTCTTAAAAATATATTATTTAAAATAATTTATTTTATATAAATGTCATAAAAATAAGTGGTTTACAAAAGGTTTCCTGCAATTAATGGTAATAAATTTATTGATATAAATTGATGGTTTGGTTCGTAGTTTACTGTATAACATTGTCTTTACAAATAGATTGTGTATATTTCATATAATATCAAACATTTATTATTTCATTGTAACAATAATAGGCAATATTTATTTTTATAATCTAATAAAAGCTTAAAATTGTTGATCAGACCGATGTCATTTAGTGATTAAATACTAGTTACAAGTTTAGTATAAATATCAATTTAAATAAAGTTACAAGCTTAAATTATAAATTAACGTTATAAAAATTATTTAGTTAATTGTCTATAAGCTTTATAAAACAATAAATAACTGGTCAAAGAGCTAAACATTTATTTAATTCTCACGAATTAATAAACTTTTAAAACCTATTTTATAGATTAGATTAATTGCTAGTAATTGGTGTCATATGTATTGACACAGAAACGACAATTCAATAAAAACTTAATTATCATTAATTGTATTCTCTCATTGAGATTACATTCAAAAATCTGACACAACTTTAATCTTAATTATAATTAATAGACTATTAAAACATAAGTAAACTCAATGCGATTTGGGCTTCAAAAACTATAAATGAAAATAAATGATGAGATATTAATAACAATTAGTATTACAATACAATGTTGATTGTTTTGTCAACAAATTAGATTTTATCACTTTATTTATAAAATAAAAGTGAAAATATGTTGTATTTTCTTTAAACTTTACTTCAAAACCCTTTTATAAAATGTATTATTTAAAGTTTTTTAATTAAACTTTAAAGTTTAAACTGTATTTCAAAATTCTTTTAACTTTAATTAAGTTAAATCAATATAATATATCGAAAATGGCTTTATATTGATTTGGCCATGAAAATAACAGTTAAGTTATTTAATTTAGTATTTTTTTAATTACTTCTAAAGTAAGACCTTTTCTAAGTTTTATAGTCTATTATTTGGTAAAAATACTATAAAAATAACAATTATTACCAAATAAGTTCTTTTAGTATTCAATGTGTTAAAATTGAAACATTGTTTATGCTATAGACAAATAGAGAATTGGCTGTCAAAATCGAAATCTGTTAAAATAATCTGTTAAAACCGGATTCAGTTAACATTATAGTATGCATAGCCCGGGCTAACGAGAACTTATGTTAAACCGAAATCTGTTAAAATCGCGGGTGTCAAAACCGGGGGTAGACTGTATTTGTGAGGAGTGGTTGCATTCAAAACACTTTGTTTAACGAATTGAACGCTTCTATCGTTTGCCGTATTTTCCAATTCAAAGACAATTAATTTGTTTGGTTTCGGGAATGCATTGAAGAGGTGTTTGGGTGTA